CAGCACATGATGGTGGTGGTGACGGTGTCGATGCTGATTCTGATGATGATGACGAAGCTGATGCTGGTGATGCTGATACTGATGCTGATGATGTTGCTGATGAATGTTGCTACTGATGAAAGATGCTGATGCTGATGCTGATGCTGATGCTGATGATGATGCTGATGATGTTGATGCTGACAATGGTGATGCTGATGCTGATGCTGATGCTGATGATGAGGAGGAGGAGGTGAGGATGCTGCTGCTGATGATGATGCTGATGAGGATCATGATGAGTAAGATGAGGATGATGATGAGGATGAGGATGCGTAGGAGGAGGATGATGACAACTCCGAGTACGACACGACGACGTCGTTGACGACGACCATGATGATGACTATGACGATGTGAATGAGGAGGATGGACAGGGTCATTAGAGGGACGATTCCGATTATGATGCTGGTGATGATGATGATGATGATGATGATGATGATGATGATGATGATGATGATGATGATGATGATGATGACGGTGATGCTGATGATGATGCTGATGATGCTGATGATGATGGTGGTGGTGGTGATGCTGATGCTGATGCTGATGATGATGATGATGACGATTCTGGTTATGCTTCTGCTGCTGCTGGTGATGATGATGATGATGCTGATGCGGTTGATGACGATGACGATGACGCTGCTGCTGCTGCTGATGATGATGATGATGCTGATGATGAGGATGATGATGATGATGATGATGATGATGATGATGATGATGATGATGATGATGATGATGCTAATAATGATGATGATGATGCTGTTGATGGTGGTTGTGTTGGTGAGGAGAAGGAGGAGGACACGCATGCTGGTGGTGGTGGTTATGATGCTGCTGCTGATGTTGCTGCTGCTGCTGCTGTGGATGATGAGGAGGATGAGGATGAGGATGAGGATGAGGATGAGGGGGAGGAGGAGGAGGAGGAGGATGCTGCTGCTGCTGATGAGATGAGGAGGAGGTGGAGGAGGAGGAGGCGGAGGAGGAGGAGGAGGAAAAGTGCTAGGGAGGTGTTTGCTCGTTCTCCTCGTGCTCTTCCTTCATTGTCTTTTCCTGTCCCTGCCTTTCTGGGACCTCGTCGACCGCGCTCCCTGGGGCCCGAGAGGACGACTGTCCCAGAAGCTGCCCCTCCACCTTCAACCTGAACATGCCCAGGCGCGCCTCCGTGCACAGGGAGGAGGGAGAAGAGGACCAGGGTCTGTTTCCGCTCGATCCGATGTAGTGCCGATATCTGACTGGCGCGATCCGATCGGTTCTACTACTCTGGCGGTGCGATGCGTCCCGATGTTCGCATGGCGCTGCTGTGGAATATTGGCACGGCCTGTTCGATTCGATCCAGATCCCGTGCCGATGCAGCCCCATCCGACGCACGTTTCGATCCGATCCGATTGCCCGACTCGGAGCTGACTGCTCCCGGCACAGGGAGGAGGGGCACACTCTGAGGCACATTGCCCGGCGTTGCTTCAGCCTTCGGGCATTCTCACTTCTGTTCGTCAGCGACTCGCTTCGGGTTATGGTTCTTCCTGCCTTCCGTTTCCCTCTTCCCAAGCCCTTGCGCTTCCTCGCCCTCCCTCATCGTCCCTCCTGCTCATCCCCCTCTCCTCATGCAGTAAGCTGAGAAAGTCCCCAACGCGAGACCCATGCCGAAAAACGAGCCGCCCTCCATCGATGATGCTGCTGGTATGCTGTTCAGCTCAGTGTCAGGAGCCCGGAGGACATCCAAAGCGTCAGTCCTATGCCAAACAACCAACTGGCCTTCACACATCCCGCCGCCAGGAACTTCGGGGACGAAGGCGAGCGAGGCCGAGCCGGGAGGCGAGTTCAGACAGGAGGCGGAGGGATGATGACGAGGAGGAGGGGGAATAGGAGGAGGAGGAAGAGGAGGAGGAGGAGGAGGAGGAGGAGGAGGAGGAGGAGGAGGAGGAGGAGGAAGGGGCAGCTCCACCGGTGCACCTGTGGCAAGCTCTGAGGAGGCCTGCTCTCGGCGCTCCTGCGGGAGCTGTGCTCGAGTGCAGAAGGTCGCAGGCTTGGAGGTTGACACCAGCGCCACCTCCTCCTCCTCCTCCTCCTCCTCCCCTCTTCCCCCACCTCCTCTTCCCCCTCCTCCTCCCCCCTCCTCCTCCCCCTCCCCCTCCTCCTCCGAGTGAAGAAGATACCGATCTCGGTGATGGTAGTATTCTGGCTTCCAAGGTGACCGAAACACTACCCCCAGCATCAAAATCTAGGATCAGGTTCCCCCTGTGGAGGCCCCCCCACTGTGCTGATGTTGGTGCTCATTTCCAGGCCTCCAAGAAGGGTCCGCTCTCCGCATGTGTAGCTGCCGGGGAATGCAGGCCCCAGGCTCGTCCGCTGCGAAGGCGCCTCGGGCGACACGCCTGCCCCGCCATGCGAGCACGTCCTGCGGTGCCTCTGCGGCGGAGTTTTGCCTGCACGGCGCGGGACGGGAGGAGGAGGAGGAGGAGGAGGAGGAGGAGGAGGAGGAGGAGGAGGAGGAGGAGGAGGGGGAGGAGGAGAGGAGGGGAGGAGGAGGAGGAGGAGGGAGGAGGAGGAGGAGGAGGAGGAGGAGGAGGAGGGGGAGGAGGAGGAGGAGGAGGAGGAGGAGGAGGAGGGGGAGGAAGAGTGGAGGAGGAGGAGGAGAGGAGGGGAGGAGGAGGAGGAGAGGAGGAGGAAGAGGAGGAGGAGGAGGAGGAGGAGGAGGAGGAGAGGAGGAGGAGGAGAGAGGAGGAGGAGGAGGAGAGGAGGAGGGAGGAGGAGGAGGGGAGGAGGGGGAGGAGGAGGAGCAGGTGAGAGAGGAGGAGGGAGGAGGAGGAGGGGGAGGAGGAGGAGGAGGAGGAGGGGGGAGGAGGAGGAGAGGAGGAGGAGGAGGAGGAGGAGGAGGAGGAGGAGGAGGAGGAGGGAGGAGGGAGGGGAGGAGGGAGGAGGGAGGGAGGGAGGAGGGAGGAGGGAGGAGGGGGAGGAGGAGGAGGGAGGAGGGAGGAGGGAGGAGGGAGGCGGGAGGAGGGAGGGGAGGGAGAGGGAGGAAGGAGGAGGAGGAGGAGGAGGAGGGAGGAGGGAGGAGGGAGGAGGAGGAGGAGTAGGTTGCGGGCTGCGGCGGACAGACCGCCTTGCCTGCAGTGTTCAAGGAGGAGGTTAGGGCGTGTCCAGAGGGCTGGGGAAGGCGGTGGCGGCCCGTCGTCCTGGGAGAGCTGCCGGGAGGCAGGCATGTCCCGCGGCTGCTCCGCGGCGCCCAGGGGCTGGCCCGGACAGATGCGGCGACTGCCATCGGGGAGCGCGTGCTTTGGGGGCGCCGGCAGGGGGGGCGGCCCGAGGGGGGGTACACCTTAGGCGATGCTTAAGAAAACTTAAGTTTTCGGCCAGAGTCTCGACTATTCTTAACGTTTCAATGTAAATCTTAAGATTTTAATGGAAATTGTGGGTTTTTATTCAAATTCTGAGACTATGAATTTCTTAACCCATGATTTCTAAAGCATTTCGCAGGGGGTAAGCTCCGACCTCCCAATCGCCCTTTTCGATCCTCCTCAGGACGCGTGTCAGCCCAATTTGTGTTTACGCCGTATGTTCAGGCTTCCTGGATGGGGTCGGAGTAAATGGGGTCGGAGGATCGCGCCGCATCGCCGATGCATCGGCGATGCGGCTCGATGTGGGGCACAATGCTCTCCGCGCCGGCGTCGCCGATGCATCGCTGACGTCGTCGATGCATAGGCGATGCGGCGCGATCCTTCGACCCTATCCATTCGGACCCCATCTAGGAGGCCTCGAGTATAACGCTGTCGATAGCACGCAGCCCGTGCTGGCCTTCATTTTCTGCGCCGCCTGCGTCGCAGTGGAGGGGTCCGGTGGACAAACACACGTTGTCGCTAGCACACGTTCTGAGGATTATCGACCTTTCATCGGCAATCGGGACCTTTTTCGCTCTGGGGGGTCGATCGCTGACCTGTCGGCGGTGAACTGCCGATTTCAAGTCTATGTGCCCCCCCCTGAGCCTGTGCTAGCTCGGGCATCTCCTTCTACGGCAGGAAGATTCAAACATAGTCAAACAGTTGTTTTGGGAGGGCTATTCGATTATGTTGTTGTTGGTGTTGTTGTTGTTGCTGCTGCAGCTGCTGGTGTTGTTGCTGCTGCTGTTGTTGTTGTTGTTGTTGTTGCTGCTTCTGCTGTTGTTTTGGTTGTGGTTATGGCTGTTGTTGTTGTAATTGCTGTTGCTGTTGTTGTTGCTGCTGTTGCTGTTGCTGCTGTTGTTGCTGTAGCAGGATATGCCCGACCCAACGCCAGGCCCCCTTGTCGCGTGGAGCCGCGTGGAGCCGAACCCCCCCAGCGCTTCGGGAGGGAGCCCCGGCGCTCCGCGGCAGTGGCAGGGTGGAGTACAGTCAGCCCGCATAGTCGGGATGGGCAAACTTCCCAAAGGTTTTGACGCTCCAACCTACTTTAGCCTTGACCACCGGGGAAGAACTTCGAGCGCCCCAAGCAGTACCGAAACTCGAGGGTCTTCACGTGCCGGGCCCTGGGAGACACTCGCCCGACACTGTTCCGACACTGTCGCGACACCCTTTGGGCACTTCTCCGGGTGCTCGGAATTATATCTGGGACGTGGTCCTCAGGTAGGATGGGCACAACATAGCCCAAGGGCACCCTCGCGTCCTTGCCTCCTCGGCTGCCCTTGGCCGCTTCCGTTGGCCGTGCCCCCCTCTCGAGAATCGGGGGAGCGTAAGACCCGGGTTTGCCGGGAGTCGGGTTCGCCATCGTTTTTTGACGACCGCGACTCGGATTTTGACGAGGAGGAGTTTTGTGGGATGTCTGCAGCGGGAGGCCTCGTCAAAATGCAGGCTCGGCCTCGTCATTTTTTTGACGACCTCGTCGGGGATTTCCGAGTCCCCCGTACCCGGGTCTTACGTCCCCCCGAGAGAAGCCTCGCAACGGCCCTCCAGAGGCCCTTGGCAGCCTCCTCGCGGGTCTTGCCGATGCGGGCGGGCGGCACGCTCACGGGGGGGGCTGCCTCGACCCCCGACTGCCCGGTCGTCGCCGACAGGGGCCCGAGCAGGAGGAGGAGGAGGAGGAGGAGGAGGAGGAGGAGGAGGAGGGAGGAGGAGGAGGAGGAGGACGCGGAGGCGGGAGGGGGACAGGAGGGAGGAGGGAGGAGGGAGGAGGGGAGGAGGGAGAGGAGGAGGGAGGAGGGAGGACGGGAGGAGGGAGCGCGTGGATTCGCAGTGGGGGGCCGCCCGTCGACCCCTCGGCGGTGTGTCGCCGATGCCGAGGCGGCGTCCTGCGCGGAGGCTGCCCCTCGCGAGCCGCCGGCGGGGGTTTCGTGTTGGGTGGACCCGAAAGGGTGGTCCTCCTCCTCCTCCTCCTCCTCCTCCTCCTATTCCTCCTCCTCCTCCTTCTCCTCCTCCTCCTCCTATTCCTCCTCCTCCTCCTCATCATCTCGGGTTGACCCAAAAAGGGGGTCCAGCGACAACGGGGTGGTGCAGTAGATCTGGTGCAATAGATCTGTGGGGGTGCAGTACATGTGGGGCGTGCAATGCCTTCCGGGGCGCACGTGTGTTGCGGGATGTTCGCGTGCCATGCATTCGTTGCAATCCAATGCAATAGGATTCTCCAGCGCAGTACGTTTGCAATACAATTGCCCCAAAGCTATTGCACCACCCCCTTGCAGCTGGACCCCCTTTTGGGTCGCCCAGATTGTGACATGGCGTGGCTGGTCCGGGCCAGCGCCAACCCAGGCGAGCGCGGCCCTGAGGAAGGCCGGGGCGCCAGAGCGACGCTCGAGGAACACCGGGAGCAGCGCAGGCATGCATTTTCAGAGCGCCGCGCAGATCTTCTCAGATCGGCGTGAGCGCGCCACGGGGAGGGCGGGGTCGGCGCGGGCCCCAGAACGTTGCGCGCACCCTCGGAAGTTCACGCTTGGGCTTAAGTCGGGCCTGTCCCTCTACAGGAGGAATGCTCCAAGCGAGTCGAGCAAAGAGTCCGGGGAGAACTTTCTAGCACCTGTTAATCATCTATGACTTCTTGCTGGCTACTTTTATCTTTCGTGCAAGGTCCCCCTGTAGGGGGACGCGCCCGACTTAAAAAAAGCTTGGGCAGCTTTCCGTTCTTGCTCCAAAAGGGTCAAACAAAGAGTCTGGGGACAATGTTCTAGTAATTACCTGCTAACCATCTATGATTTCTTGTTGATTAGCTTTTATTTTTCGTGCAAGGTCCCCCTGTAGGGGGACGCGCCCGACTTAACAAAAAGCTTGGGCAGCTCTCCGTTCTTCCAGGGGCGGCCGGCCGACCTGGCGGCGCCGGGCCTCCGCCGACCCGTGCCCGGGGCCCGGGGCAGGGGGGTGGCTGCAGAGCCCGCTGCCTCGCCTCTGTCGGGTATAGCCAGGACCCCGGGTACCCAGATGGTCTGGTACCGGAAATTTTCGGTAGCGATTTCGACGCACCCCGAATTTCGGTAGCGACCGGATCTTCGTTCGAGGGCGTTGAAATAGCGGATTTCGGAACGGTCTGATACCGGTATTGGGCGCTACATTTCGGTATTTCGGTAGCGACCGATCTCTGCGGAGCACTACCGGAAATTTTCGGTAGCGGACCATCAGGGGGACCCCTGGTAAGGGGACCCGACCCGGTTAGTGGTTTACCACCCACCAAACCACCCCAACCCAACCCGAAGGCTCAGATCTACCCTCGATTTCCAGTGGGGGGGGGGTTCGGGAAACGTCAAAAACACATGTGGAACCCTTACCCCCCCCCCCAACCCGAAATTCGGGTCTTCGGGCTGGGTTGGGGTGGTCTGGGAGGTAGTCAGTGGTATCGGCAACACCCCAACATACTTATACTATATGTGCGTCGCCCCCCAGGGGCGACGCGCGCACCGAGAAATCTTGTAGTATATGCGCCGTGGCGGGCGCTTTCTGGCCACACTGCTCGGGAAACGATATACTACGAGATGGTTATACTATATGTTCGGGTCGGACGCGCGCCTCCAAGGAGGACATATGCACTCCAGGCGATGCTTAAGAAAACCCAAGTTTTCGGCCAGAGTCTCGATTATTCTTAATGTTTCAATGCAAATCCTAAGATTTGACTAGACACTCTGGGTTTTTATTCAGATTCTGAGACTATGAATTTCTTAACCCATGATTTCTAAAGCATTTCGCAGGGTGTAGTATTAGGATGTCCATGTGCGTCCCATGGTAGGGCCCTGGGGCCCCTCGAGTGGCCAGGTTCCCGGAACCAGGTCTGCCGCAACTGGCGTCTTTCGGGCGGCGGCAGCTCCGGCTCGCGGAACTGGGGCGGAACGGGGGCGCCCCGCGCGGTACCTCCTCCTCCTCCTTCCTCCTCCTCCTTCGCAGTCCCCTCCTCCTCCTCTCCTCTCCTCCTCCTCCCCCCTCCCCCTCCCCCCCCTCCTCCTCCTCCCCCTCCTCCTCCTCCTCCTCCTCCTCCTCCTCCTCCTCCTCCTCCTCCTCCTCTTCAACCCAGTTCTGCCAACGCCCGACTCTGGGCCGCCCGTCACCACCGACCACACCACCCCAACCCAGCCCGAAGGCTTCCATTTGCCCTCCACTTCCAGTGTGGGGGGGTCGGGGAACATGGTAAAAACACATGGGGACCCATACTCCCCCCCACCCGACATTCGGGTCCAATTCGGGTCTTCGGGTTGGGTTTGAGTGGTCTGGTAGGTAGTCAGCCCGGGCGGGGAGGGAGCCAAACTTCAGGCGATCGCAAACATGGATCAAGGGGGCGTGGATTGGCGACGGGTCCCGTTTCCGTGGGAAGTCGCGGATCTCCGCCGCCGAGCGAGGTGGCACCGGCCGCATTTTGGGGAGGGCAACTCCCCCGATACATGGCTTTGGCGACCGCGCGCCAAATCCACGGATCGCTAGTCCATGTTTGCGCGCCCCCGTAAATTGGGGTCGGAAGATCCCACTGCGTCGCCGATGCAGATGCCCGCCACACACATATACACAGACACCCTCTAATGGATTGCTTAAGGCATCAGGGGAGTGTGGCGGTATATAAGTTACCATTGGGGGCCAGCGACTTTATACACCGCCACCATCCCTGAAGGTACATGCAAAGTTCGTCGGACGGTGTCTATGTGTATATTTCCGTGGCCCAACATTGGGTCGGAGGATCGTTCCTCGGGGGAGCCACAATGGGTACGGGAACAGTGGGTACAAAGCCCAACAGCAGTTTTTGTTCAGGTTGAACAGGACTCTCTGACGGCGCCGCCACGGTCGTCGCCCGTTTGAAGCACAAGCTCGTCTGCCCAACAGCGGCCGCTGTCGATTCCAGAACACTTGTTGTTGGGCATCCGTACCCATTTTTCCCGTATCCATTCAGGGGGGCGTCCAAAGTGCCGCATTGCCGATGCATTGGCGATGTTGGTTGATCAGGAGCCCGACCTTTCCGCTCCGACGTCGCCGATGCGCTGGCGATGCGTCGGTGATGTGGCGTGGCCTTCCGACCCCGCCCAACCCCGGGCTCCGTTCGAGCGGCCTCCGGTAGCTCTGCTGCTGTGCTTGCTGCTGCTGCTCCCGCGGGTACGTACCCGCACTACTTGATCTGATCTCCCTGCCCCCCTGCGAGAGGCACCCGTGCAGCACCACCGCGCCCGGCCAGGGGGCGATTCCTGGGCCTCAGGGCGGCCCTCCAGGCCTGGTGGTGGTGGTGTGTGACTGGAGGCCCTCTGCCTCACCACCCACCAAACCACCCCAACCCGACCCGAAGCCCTCTCAATTTGCCTTCCATTTTCAGTGGGGGGGGTGTCGGGGAACGTTGAAAAAAACACATGGCATCCGTACCCCCCCCAACCCGACACTCGGGTCAAATTCGGGGGGCCTTCGGGTTTGGCTGGGGTGGTCTGGTAGGTAGTCACCAGCGGCGCGCCAGGAGGGGGGAACGTGAGGTGGGGCAGGCCTTCTCTCGGGAGGCGGCGGGGCTCCTCAGAAGCCGCCCTTGCCTTCTGAGGAGCCCTCTGTGGCTCCGGAGAAGGCTTCGCACGCTCCTCACGAGGCTGGAGTCCTTCTGAGCCTCCCGAGAAGCGGGCCGGGCGAAAGGGGGGGATAGCAAAGGGGGGGTTTTAGAACCGGCTCACGTAGCTGATTTTCCCGGCGCCTCCTGGCGCTGGGGGCGGCCATGTATCGAGGAGTGGGCCCCTCGGTGAGGCCGAAACCAGCTGCATGCAGCACATTTCGTAACCCCCCCTTTCCCAATCCCCCCCTTTCGTCCGGCCCGACAAAGAGAGGAAGGGAGGGAGGAGGGGGAGGAGGGGAGAGGAGGAGGAGGAGGAGGAGGAGGAGGAGGAGGAGGAGAAGGAGGAGGAGGAGGAGCCCGCCCCCTCTGCCTTCCCCCCTTGGGCGACCCGCCGCGCATACGCTTCGGCGTTGGAGCGGCAGCGTGCGGTGTGGCGCCGACGGCCTGCTATGCACCCGCGTGATCCCCCACCTTGGGGGCACCTCCTCCTGCTGCTCCTCCTCCTGCTCCTTCTCCTCCTCCTCCTCCTCCTCTTCCTCCTCCCTCCTACTCCTCCTCCTCCTCCCCTCCTCCTCCTCCTCCCTCCTCCTCTCCCCTCCTCCGCCTCTCTCTTCCTCCTCCTCTTCCTCCTCCTCCTGCTGCTCTGCTCCTCCTCCTCCTCCACCACCCCCTCCTCCTTCTCCTCCTCCTCCCCTTCCCCCCATCCCCCCTCGGTCTCAGACGACGGGAAGCAGTTCCTACGCTCTACGAGGCGGGGCTGTCACCAACAACTGGCTTGGGTCTCGCGGGAAGCACACCGTTGCGGAGCACTCGGGAAACCGAGTTCCTCGGCCACCTGCGCTTCTGGATGGGCTCCCGCCCGCCCGCGCCGCCCTCATAGGGGCCCGCTGGCCGGCGGCTCCGCGCGTCCCCCACCCCCCCGCCGGCCAGGGAAGAGGGCCTGTTCGGCAAGGGCGGGCACCACCAGTACCTCTCGTCCTGCAGGACCAGCCCGGTCGGCGGCCTCAGGCCAAGAGACTCCGCCCCCCCTGGTCTAGGCCTCCTAGATCTTGGCACCGCTCGGACGTGTGCATTTTTTCTTTCGGCGAGGGCCATCGAGGAGCATCCTGGATCAGTTGGCGAAAAAACCACGCACGACACCGAACAAAAACACGGGGAATGGACGCCCGAGCGATGCCCAGAGATGGGGCCCGAGTAGATGGGGTCGGGGGATCGCGCCGCGTCGCCGATGCGGCTCGATGCGGAGCCCGGTTTTCCCCACGCCGGCGTCGCTGAGACATCGCCGACGTCGACGCCTCATCGCCGGTGCATCGCCGATGCATCGCCGATGCATCGCCGATGCATCGCCGATGCATCGGCGATGCGGCTCGGTCGCTCGGTCCTCCGACCCCATCTGCTCCGACCCCATCTGGGAGGCCTCTACCTGGGCGGGGGCACGAGAGCAGGATCGCGAGCTTTTGGGGTGTCTCGCCCGCCACCGTGCCAGCGAGGCACGAGTTGGGCTGCCCTCCGGTCCCTTGCTCAGTCCTCTGGGCCTCGGTCCTCAGTCCACGAGAGCAGGATCGTGAGCTTTAGGGGCGTCTCGCCCGCCACCGTGCCAGCGAGGCACGAGTGGGGCTGCCCTCCGGGCCCTTGCTCAGTCCTCTGGGCCTCGGTCCTCAGTCCATGAGAGCAGGATCGTGAGCTTCAGGGGCGTCTCGCCCGCCACCGTGCCAGCGAGGCACGAGTTGGGCTGCCCTCCGGTCCCTTGCTCAATCCCAATCCCCTGGGGCTCAGTCCTCAGTCCAGGAGAACAGGATCGTCCGCCACCGTGCCTGCGAGGCACGAGTTGGACACCGTCAGGTCCCTTTCTCAATCCCCTGGGCCTCGGTGCTCAGGCCTGTGGAACTTGTAAGGGGCCGCGCGCGGGGGGCTTCTTTCCGCGTGGCTTTTCTGGGCCCCAAAGTGCCCAAATGCGGGCCAAGAGGCTTCTGACCTAGTGCGGAGTGTGCCGAACGCCGGACGCCGACGCCGACGCCGACGCCGACGCCGAAGCCGCCGAAGCCGATGCCGATGCCGACGCTGTCGCCGACGTCGACCCGACGGAAGACGCCAACGTCGACGACGACGACGGACGACGGACGACTGACGACGAACGACGGACGACGGACGACGGACCCCGGACGACGAGCTATGGACGACGGACGCTGACGTACGATGGACGACGGCGACGGCGCCAGCGACGGTGACGGCGACGACGGCGACCTCCACGACGACGACGACGACGACGACGACGCCGATGACGACGACGCCGCCGACGACGACGACGACGCCGATGACGACGACGACAACGCCGACGACGACGACGACAACCTCCACCACGCCACGCCGACAGGGCCGCGACCACAGGGGGCGTGGGGTGCGATTCCATTCGCGAGGCCCTGACGAGGCTCACGGGCGTGCCCATCCAGCAGGGGGGGGGGCTCGATTCATATGCATTGGGAGGTGGAGGGGGGGGGCTATCCCTGGATCATGTATGCTGTTGTGGACGTACGCGTGCGAAACGTTGAAAGGGGGATTACTCGGGGCTGAGGAGGGGCCGTGGTTTTTGGGGCCATTCCGTAGATTCAGGTCGGGGAGCCTACTTGTGTCTCAGGTTTGGTACGCCCACGAGAACACGAAGCATGCAAACGTACATCCCGGAACGCATTTGATCTTCCTTTCTTCTCCCCCTGCCCTTGCCCCCCCCGCCCCTCCGTCACTCTTCGGACCTGGCCACTCTTCGGAGCGAGGCGGAGGAGCTCACAAAACCTAGTTCGCCATCAACGGCTTTCCCGCACAGCATTGAGTGGGCGTGTCTCTCTACCGGGGGAATCTTATTTTCTGAATGTTTTTTAAACATCCGTTTTGGACATATTTTCGCAAACTTTATTTTTTCGTCCAGAGTCCGCCTGTAGGGAGACATGCCCGATCTGAGCATAGCAGTTTCAGTCAACGCGCACAGCAAGGACAAACGACTCTTTCAAGGGTCCCCTTGGGTCCTTGCCTGCCTCAGCCTCGGCGGATCGTCCCTGGCAATTTCCGCAGGCCAGAATACCTCAACCTCGGCCTCCAGGGGTCCTGCGTCCTTGCCCGCGTCCTTGCCACCCTGGCCCGTCCCTCCGGAACGAGAGCGTGTGGAGCGCAGTCTGCACGTGAGAGAAAGATCGTCCTTCATTCTTCTTCTCATTGTGCTTATTGTGCATCTTGCCCCCCACATCCATATCTCATATTCTCGTATACGTTTTCACTGTACCTCGTGAGTCCGCGCGCGCACCTTTTGGGAGGCCACGGCCTCTCCACGCCATGCCCCGACGCGGGCACGGGGAGATGGCCACCTCCAGCGGCCTGCGCAGGGCTCCGGCGTTCTCGCCGCCCCCGGGTCCCCCTTCTCGGTCCCCCCTCCGCTCCCCCCCCTGCCCCTGGGTTCGGAGGCCACCAGCTATACACCAACACCGATCCTGGCCCAGGATCACCCTGGGCCCAGGATCGGTGTATATGCCTTCTTGCGCAAGGCAGGAGGGCGTATACACCGATCCTGGGCCCAGGGTGATCCTGGCCAGGATCGGTGTTGGTGTATAGTTGGTGCCTTCCTATGGGTCGGGCCTGTCCCCCTACAGGGGGATTTTCGGCGAAGAGTGAGAAGTACCCCCAACATAGTCCAGAGATAGTCCAAAAATAGTCTGGGGACTGTTTTTGGAATATTCTTTTTACCTTTTCGGGGCATTTCTGTGGTATTTTTTCAATTTTTCGTCGACAATCCCCCTGTAGGGGGGACAGGCCCGACTTCACCCTGCCCCTGCCGTCGGCTTGACCGGACGCTCTCACGCACAGTGCAGGGCGCCCACGTCCGCTGTGGGGCTCCCGCCGCTCCCGGCTCTGGACGCCCGAAATGGGTACGGAAAGAATGGGTACGATGCCCAACAGCAGTTCCTGTTCATTTTGAACAGGACTCGCTGTCCGCGCCGCCGCGGCCTGTGTCCTTTTGAGACAGGAGGCCTCCCGCCCAACAGCGGCCGCTGTTGGCTTGGGACAACATTTGTTGTTGGGCATAGTGCCCATTCTTTCCGTACCCAATTCGGGCGTCCAAACTGCTGCACGGTCCGGTCCGGTTGGGCTTCGGGCCTCGTCGGCGGCGCGCCCTTGCAGCCACGCGCAGAGGGGGGTGTGGGGAGGGGGAAGGGCTTCTTAGAAACACCCCTGCTTCTTAGAAGGCGCGGGCCTCGCCTGTAGATGTAAGGCCGGAGCCTTCTAAGAAGCAGCCTCCTTCTAAGAAGCCTTCCCCCCTCCCTCCATCCCCTTGTGCGCGCCGCCAACCCTTGCAGCAGGAACTTCATCTGCAAGTCCATGGCCGACACCGACCACAAGTCCCTGCTGAGGCCGGCGCGCGCGCCCGGAGCAGGGTCCCACACCGCCCTGCCGCTCGCTGGGGAGGGGCGGGAGGCGGAGGAGGAGGGGTAGGAGGAGGGGGAGGAGGAGGAAGGGAAGGAGGAGGAAGGGAAGGAGGGAGCAGGAGGTAAGTGCAAACCCACGGCTCGGCAACGATGTTGCATTAAACCCTCCCTCCAAGCACCCCCATTCATAGGCCCCTAGAATGTTTCACTTCCTCTCGGGGACGTGCCCCGCTGGGAGACAAGCGTTTGAAACTCTGGAACTGTACAAGAGCATCATTCTTGGGACTTCAGTGCCACGAATGAACTTCACTGTTGCGTCTTGACGGTCCTGAACCGTGCCAAGACGCGAACTCTGTGATTTCAACACCGCGAATCAACGTAACTTCCGCGCTCTGAATCCTACATCGTTCCTGGGCACCATGTCTCTTGCAGTTTTTTGCAACGAATGCGCGCAGCGCAAAGGCGAGCGCCACATTTTGAAAATGGCCCGCCCTCAACTCCTGAAACTCTTGTGCATTATTCGAACCAGTGTGCATGGTGCTTAAGGCCTACAACCGCAATTTGAAAACGACCTGTCTTCATCAATCCGTGAAGATCCTGCGAACTGTTCAGGTGAGTGTACGTGGCGCTCAGGCGAGAACCACATTTTGAAAACCACCCGCCCCCCCACATGTGAATCGGGGGTGGACAGAACCCCCAACAGTGACACGTCGATTAGTGAATTGTTTGTTTTCGGTTCTCGAGAGGGCGCCGCGGCCGTCATTTTCCAGGCCTGCGCCCGCCAGGTTTGGGCCTCAGGTCGTTTTCACTGAACCACGTTGTACTAAAGGGAGGTCTTTCCACCCCCGATGCGAAACCGATGCCAGTTTTGAAGCTTCAGGGTCACAAGCGGTACGGAAGTCTCAGGCGCACCGCCCAGCCCGCCTTTCCCCGACTGTCTTCGGGGTGCGACAGGGAGGAAGTGTTTCTCGGGAGAAGGAACTGCGGAGGGCAAGGAGGAGGAGGAGGAGGGGAATGAAGGGAAGAGGGACGGGGAGGAGGAGAGAGAGGGGGAGGAGGAGGGGCAGGAGGAGGAGGAGGAGGAGGACCAGTGTAAACCCAAGACTCGTCAACGATGTCGGAATCAACTTTACCCTCAAGCTCCCTCTTCGTAGGCCCCATACGGGGGCCCATTTCCATTGATGGAAGGACCCCGTTGGGAGGCAACCGTTTGAAATATAGACTCGCGCCAAAACACCATTCCCAGGATTTCAACGCAACGGATGAACTTGACTACTGCGCCTTAACATCCTGAGTCGTGCCAGAATGCCGTTCCTAGGACTTCAACACCGCGAATCAACGTGACCGTTGCGCCCTGACAGTCCTGAAACTTGCCAACAAAACGCAGTTTCTGGTATGTTAGCTATGATAAGCTTTGAAGCTATTGCGCATTCTTAAGGCGAGTGTGCGCGACGCTAAAGCTACATCTACATTTTGAAAACATGCTGTCTGCAATCCGTGAAGCTCTTGCGAATTTCTCAAACGAACGTGCGCGGCGCTAAGGCGATAACCACATGTTGATATCGACCTGTCCTCAATCCGTGAAGCCCTGACGAATTCTTCAAACGGATGTGCGCGGAGCTAAGGCGAAAGCCATGTGTGAAAACTACCCGCCCTCACGTCGTGAAATTCTTGCAAATTGTTCAAATGGATGTGCGCGGCGCTAAGGCGGGAACCACAATTTGAAAGCGACCCGCCCTCAATTCGTGAACCTCTGGTGGGTTGTTCAGATGGACGTGCGCGGCGCTAATGCGCGAGCCACATTTTGAAAACCACCCGCCCTCCATCTGCGTAACTGTTGCCGCTGCCCAGGCTACAGGATCATGGATGGTAGGGCAGTCTCAGGCGGCCGCTTGGCCCGTCCTTCCGACTGGCTTCGGGGCGCGCCAGGCAGTTGCTTATCAAGGAAAAGAAGGAAGGAGGCCCCAGCCCGCCGCGCCAGGCCGCGAGCCGGGGCTCACGAGGCGGGGGTCCGTGCAGACGGTGGTCAGTCGGAGCGCCGGACCTTGCAGGACCCTGCAGAGCCAGGGCTCCTTAGGACCTGGGCTTGGGCGCAGGATCCTGCAGGATCCTGCAGGGTACAGTCGGGGCGCTGAAGAGGGAACCCTTCTCGTTGGCGAGGGGCTCGGTGTTCCTTGATTGTTTTATAGTTCGCGTGGGGGTTCCATGGGAAATCGAAGTTTAACTTATGGGAAACAGGGGCCTCGTTCCTTATTTAGGGTTCCTTGGGTCAACGTCCCGACTGTATTGCAGGATCCTGCAAGGCCTGAATGACCCGGGTCTGGATTGACCTCGGCCAGTAGGTCCCCGAGTGAAGGCCAGAGGGGTGGGGGGGGGCCCCTCGGTCCCACAGGGGCCCACGTTGGGGGCGGGTGTACAGTCGGGGCGTTGAAGAAGGAACTCTTTTCGTTGGGTAGGTAGGGGCTCCGTGTTCCTTAATTGTTTCACAGTTTGCCCCACGTTTTCCTTAGGTTTTCGAAGGGAAATCGAAGTTCAACTTCTGGAGAAAAGGGGCCTCGTTCCTTATTTAGGGTTCCTGAGGTCAGCGCCCCGACTGTAGGCAGTGTGCACTGGGCGTGGACAGCAAGCAGCTCGCTGACATGCTTCCTGTTAGTCTTTACGTTGGACAAGCGATCGCTGGCGAGAGCAGTCACGTCTTGATGGCTGCGATCCGAGGGGAGAAGAGATCGGAACGCAGCGCACGATCAGCCTCAAAGATGCATGCAACTGGTGCGTGCACGATCGGGGACGGAAGGGCGTAGAACGTTGGATAGGCAGAGAAGCCCGCTGGGGCACACAGGAGTGAACAGTGGCAAGATGCCCCCCCCCAGAAACACCCCCACCACATGCTTTTCGGAGGTGGATAGACCTCCTACCCTGACACGTCGATCAGTGAATTGGCCGTTTTCGCTTCGCGAGAGGGCGTCGCGGCCGTCATTTTTGCGGGTCCAGGTCCGTCGGTCTCGGTCCCAGGCTGTTTTCACTAAGGGGAGGTTTACTAAAGGGAGGTTTGTCCAACGCCGAGCTTTCCCCTCCTCCCTGCGGCACTGCGGGCAAAGCGGTCCTTCTCCGCCGAAGCCCGCGCCGCGCCCGCGCCCGTCGCGCGCGGTGCGACGCACGACCCCCTTCCTCAGAGATCCTCTGGAGGGGGCCTCAAAGAGCCTCTGGTTCCTGGGCACCCCGCAGCCAGGAGAGAGAGATGCCTCGAGGGCCTCGGAGGAAGGAAAGCGGGAGCCCCGAAAACCCAAGTAAGAAAGGGCGACATCCCCTCCTCCTCCTCCTCCTCCCCCCTCCTCCTCCTCCTCCGCCTCCTCCTCCTCCTCCTCCTCCTCCTGCCCCCCCTCCTCCTCCCCTCCTCCTCCTCCTCCTCCCCCTCCTCCTCCTCCTCCTCTCCTCCTCCTCCTCCTCCTCCTCCTCCTCCTCCTCCTCCTCCTCCTCCTCCTCCTCCTCCCTCCCCCTCCCCCCCCCTGCGGGCCCGCCCTCCCGTCCGCGTGACGTCGCACTGGGGCCGCCCAGGAACCGCAGCCGGGGCGAGCCTGCCCAGGCGCCGCTGCAGCGACGACCCGCCCTCGCACCCTCGGGGGCGAGCCCGGAGCCTCTTGCTCGGAAGTGCTCCGCTTGCTTTTTGGTTTCCTCGCTGCTCTCTTGTCCGTGCGGCCCCACTCATTTGGCCTCGGCCCCGGCACGCCATTCCCCCCCCTGGCTCGGAGGTGCTCCGCTTGCTTTGGGCTTTTCTCGCTGCTCTCTTTTCCGTGCGGCCCCACTCGTTTGGCCTCGGCCCCGGCACGCCTTCCCCCCCCCCCTTTGGCGTGAAGTCGGGCCTGTCCCTCTGCAGGGGGGATGCTCAAAAACAGTAATAAGATTGCCTGGGAACTATGTTTCGAATGTTTTTGGGGCATCTCTTTTGAGCATTTTTGGCGTATTTTTTATTTTTCGTCCAGAATCCCCCCTGTAGGGGGACAAGCCCGACCTAACCCTGGTGCCCGCCCCAGGCGGACAAAGTCCTACGTGGAGCGGCTTCTCACGGGCCAGTCGCTGCTCGTCCCCATCTATCCGCGGGGCCAGCGCCAATTCCGCAGGGCGGGCACACCGCTTGCGCGGCGTCGACAGAGCGCGGGGGGCTCGACATCGATCGACGCAGTCGATCGGCCCCTCGGAGGCGCCGTTCGACACGACCCGATGTCGGCTGGTCCTGTGTGTCGTGCGCCGCCGCCTTCTGAACAAGTTTGGTCTCCGCGGTGCTCCGCATGCCGTCGTGGAGCTCCTCTTCTGGGCCTCTCTCGAGGCTCTCTTGAGCGATCTTGGAGCCGTCTCGAGGCCTCAGAAGCCCATCGGAAGCGGAAGTGCGAGAAGGAGTCGCACACCACCAACACCATGCGAGGTCTTTAGAGCATCGGCCATCTCGGGGTTGTCCTTGTGGGTCTTCGATGCCGCCCAGGGCTCTGAGCTGTCTTGGGGGCCTCCTGAGGGCATGCTGGAGCTTAGTGGGCCCTGGAAACGACAGGGCCGTTTTTTTACCGGTTCCGTTTTGCCGTCTTTTTACCAGTTCTGACGCAGTTTCTTTACCGGTTCCGTCGCCGTGTTTTACCGGTTCCAACTCCGGTTCCAATCCTGGAGCCGTTTTTTGGTAGTTTCCGGTCGTTTTTTTTGCAGTTTCCATTTTCAAGGGACATTTTTTCGGAAACGGTGAAACGGCCCTGCCGTTTCCGGGGCCCATAAAGTGCTGGAGGCCATCTTGAGCCAACCTGGACCATCTCGTGCTATCTTTGAGGCTATCTGAATGTGTCTGGGGCCTTCTTAGCCCCAAACGCCTCCCACGGAGATTCCAAAGTGGCCTAACGCGTTCAAACATTGTATGTTTCAATGGTTTTGTCGTTGAACGAAACGGCGCCACTAAATGTAGCTCGCCTGGCTGGAGCCCGACAGATCGCCCCTCGGGGCCCTGTTCAGATACTCTTTGAACTCTTTTGAACATTCTTGAGGCCATCTTGAACCCATCTTGAGGCCGCAAAAGCCCATCCAGAGTGAAATGATGTGTTCCCATGGGTATTGCTGTCTCGGGGCGGTCTTTGAGAGGCTTCGTGGCCACTTGAAGCTGTCTTGGGGCCCACTTCGGGCCAGATGGAAGTATGCTCTGGAGGCCATCCCCTCCCCTCTCTCTGTCCCCCCTTGTCTCCCGTTACTGTCGATTGGCAGCGGGCCGCTGGCATGGACTGTTTCGGAAATTCTTTCTTTTTCCTGCAACGATTGGATTTTCTTTCATACTAAGCTCGGAGCGCTTTTCTGAGAGGTTTTCTCTTCCCCACGGTAAAGGCGATCGCGGCAATTCTCCTCCTTGCGAAACGGCCGCCTTCGCTCCTGAGTGGAATGGCACTCGGGCGGAGATGTTGGAGGAGCTGCCGCATACCTGCGCAGGACGAACGATGCTCTTCTTGAGGTGCAGATGGCGATGCTGAGTTCGACAGGTAACCTCGGCGCCACCGAACGGGCGGCGTCTGGACCAGCTGCGTACCGCTCGCCCAGGAGGAGAGAAGTACGCGTCCAGATTGAGGTCGGGCCTCCGCGCGCGGACCGTTGACGATGGGGGTGCACGGGACAGCACAGGAGAGGTGTTTGAGGTCCGCGTGTCGACTTCGTCCAGTGCCCTGTTGTGTAACTGTAGTACGATACAGTTCGAGTGCTATACATCCCGAACGGAGTCGAGGACGGACCCGCCCCCAAAAATATGGCTCGACGCGGACCTAGAACATCCGAAATTGGGTCCGCGTATCCGATTTCGTCCAGTGCCCTGTGCAACTGGAGTGCTATACATCCCGAACGGAGTCGAGGACGGACCCGCCCCCAAGAATATGGCATGACGCGGACCTAAAACATCCGAAATTGGGTCCGCGTATCCGATTTCGTCCAGTGCCCTGTGTAACTGGAGTGCGATACATTTCGAACGGAGTCGAGAACGGACCCGCCCCCAAAAACATGGCTCGACGCGGACCTAGAACATCCGACATTGGCTCCGCGTATCCGATTTCGTCCAGTGCCCTGTGTAACTGGCGTGTTATACATCCCGAACGGAGTCGAGGACGGACCCGCCCCAAAAAATATGGCTCGACGCGGACCTAGAACATCCGAAATTGGGTCCGCGTATCCGATTTCGTCCAGTGCCCGGTGTAACTGGAGTACTATACATCCCGAACGGAGTCGAGGACGGACCCGCCCCCAAAAATATGGCTCGACGCGGACCTAGAACATCCGAAATTGGGTCCGCGTATCCGATTTCGTCCAGTGCCCTGTGTAACTGGAGTGCGATACATTTCGAACGGAGTCGAGAACGGACCCGCCCCCAAAAATATGGCATGACGCGGACCTAAAACATCCGAAATTGGGTCCGCGTGTCCGATTTCGTCCAGTGCCCTGTGTAACTGGAGTACGATACATTTCGAACGGAGTCGAGGACGGACCCGCCCCCAAAAATATGGCTCGACGCGGGCCTAGAACATCCGAAATTGGCTCCGCGTATCCGATTTCGTCCAGTGCCCTGTGTAACTGGAGTGCTATACATCCCGAACGGAGTCGAGGACGGACCCGCCCCCAAAAATATGGCTCGACGCGGACCTAGAACATCCGACATTGGGTCCGCGTATCCGATTTCGTCCAGTGCCCTGTGTAACTGGAGTGCGATACATTTCGAACGGAGTCGAGAACGGACCCGCCCCCAAAAACATGGCTCGACGCGGACCTAGAACATCCGAAATTGGGTCCGCGTGTCCGATTTCGTCCAGTGCCCTGTGTAACTGGAGTACGATACATTTCGAACGGAGTCGAGGACGGACCCGCCCCCAAAAATATGGCTCGACGCGGACCTAGAACATCCGAAATTGGGTCCGCGTATCCGATTTCGTCCAGTGCCCTGTGTAACTGGAGTACTATACATCCCGAACGGAGTCGAGGACGGACCCGCCCCCAAAAATATGGCTCGACGCGGGCTTAGAACATCCGACATTGGGTCCGCGTATCCGATTTCGTCCAGTTCCCTGTGTAACTGGAGTGCGATACATTTCGAACGGAGTCGAGAACGGACCCGCCCCCAGACATATGGCTCGACGCGGACCTAGAACATCCGAAATTGGGTCCGCGTATCCGATTTCGTCCAGTTCCCTGTGTAACTGGAGTACTATACATCCCGAACGGAGTCGAGGACGGACCCGCCCCCAAAAATATGGCATGACGCGGACCTAAAACATCCGAAATTGGGTCCGCGTATCCGATTTCGTCCAGTGCCCTGTGTAACTGGAGTACTATACATTCCGAACGGAGTCGAGAACGGCCCCGCCGTAACACATATGGCCCGACGCGGGCCTAGAACATCCGACATTGGGTCAAGACTGCAGGCCGTTGTTCCGAGCCCCAAAATAAAAACTGCCGTCTTGGGGATTGGCGTTTTGGCTTTCGGACTAGTTGGTTACTACGTAGTCGACGCACCACATCTCACATGTAATCCGATGGGTCAGGAGACGCAAGGCCGAACCGCACTGGTCGTGTGGGCCTTCGGACTTGTTGTATGCCACATAGCCGACGCACCACATGTCACAGTCGGCCCGTTGGGTCAGACACCGAAACTCATGGGCGTTTTGGCCTTCGGAGTTGTTGGCTACCACACAACCGACGCACCACATCGGCGCCGCCGAACGGGCGGCGTCAGGACGAGCTGCATGCAGCTCGTCCAGCAGGAGAGATACGCATCCATGTTGAGTGACCCCTCCCGCGCGCGGAATGTTGACGTGAGTGCAAGCGACAGCACAAGACCCATCTGGGGACATTGATGACCGAACCCCCTTCCCTCGTAGAAACTGAACACGGGCGGGTTCCGGGGTCCGCGGATCCGATTTCGTCTGGTTCCATGTTTGCATCCAGTAATATACATTTCAAACGGGGTGCACATCGTACAAAAATGAGGCCCGACGGGGATCCAGAAAAACCGAAATCGGACCCGCGCGGACGGAAATTGGGATCCACAGAGAGTTAAAACTATAACCGCAGTTGGGGTCCGACGGCGGTTATGTCATACGCGTCTGATCAGAAGTTCAAACCGTCGTTCCGGGCCCAAGAGGAAAACCTTGTCGTCCTGGGGATGGGTGTTTTGGCAATTGGACTGGTTGGGTACCACGTAGCCGACGCACCACATCTCACATATAGTCCGTTGGGCGAGGAAACGCACGGCCGAAGCGCACTGGGCGTTTTGGCCTTCGGACTTGTTGGTTGGTTGCCACATAGCCGACGCACCACATCGCACAGGCAACCCGTTGGGCCAGGAAGCAGGCGACGCATTGGGCGTTTTGGCCTTCGGATTTGGTGTTTACCACATAGCCGACGCACCACATCTCACATGTAATCCGATTGGTCAGGAGACGCAACACCGAAACGCATCGGACTTGTTGGTTGCCACGTGGTCGACGCACCACATCTCACAGGCAGCCCGTTGGGTCAGGAGACGCGGGGCCGAAACGCATGGGCGTTTTGGTCTTCGGATTTGTTAGTTACCACATAGCCGACGCACCACATGTCACAAGCAGTCCGTTGGGTCAGGAAACGCAGGGCCCAAAAGCATCGTACTTGCTGGTTGCCACATGGCCGACGCACCACATCTCACAGGTAGTCCGTTGGGTCAGGAAACGCAAGGCCGACACGCACTGTCGTTTTGGCCTTCGGATTTGTCGGTTGCCATTAAACCGACGCACCACATCTCACAAGCAGTCCGTTGAGTCAGGAGACGCAGGGCCAGGAAACGCATCGGATTTGGTGGTGGCCACATAGCCGACGCACCACATGTCACAGGCAACCCGTTGGGTCAAGAGACGCAAGGCCGACCCGCATGGGCGTTGTGGCCTTCGGACTTGTTGGTTTCATAGCGGAAGCACCACATCTCACAGGCAATCCGTTGGGTCAGGGGACGCAGGGCCGAAGCGCACTGGGGGTTTTGGTTGGCCTTCGGACATGTTGGTTACAACGTAGCCGACGCACCACATCTCATATATAGCCCGTTGGGTCAGGAGTCGCAGGGCCGACGTAA